AGTCCAGGGTACAGCGGTGAGAGACAAGCGCTTTTATCCATGCGCGATCTCAACTTCAACTATCATTTTATCCTTTTCTTGATTATCGTCATTACCAACCTGCCATTTCAGCATGCCATACTTTTTCAATGGTCTTCCATCGTAGACATCAGTATCGTTTGATATTAATGGATTCTCAGCATATAGGCCCCATCCCTCCAAAAACGCCGTGTAGTATGTCTTGGAGCTTAACCAACCAATTGGACCTCCACAGGTGTCTTCAAAGTGCTCTCTATTCCCTTGGATCTACCACAGTAAAAATTGTAAGTGACATCTGAAATGATAAGAACTGTCTAGGGGAAAGTCGAATTGTAGGAATTTCAAAAAATAAACTAAACAACCCGACTACTTGTAAAAAGATCTAGTTATAGTACATCCGCGAGGTAGCTCTCTGCAAACTGCTCTTAAGTCAAATTTTATTTTGAGGTGTTAGATTTTGGGAAAGGAGGATATGTGGATCATGGGAGAACGAACATTAACCTTAACTTGACTCAGGAATCGAACACAATAGTGATACATTGTGCTTTCAGGCTTTCAGAACAAAGTCGTCTCAAAATAATCAAAAAATAGTCAAAGAGTTTAAAAAATAAACGTATTAAAGTAACCTTCGAGTTCGAAAACTTGTGAGTTTGCCTTTCCCTTTCTGTGCCTTTTCAACTCTCCAGTAATTTCGCAACGTAAGTTAATTTGGTTCCAAAAAAAGGTGTATATAAAAGTATGTATTAAATATAAAACAACAACCAACTTAAAATTGCAAAATTTTCACCTGGATATGGTGACCTGGACGAGCCTCGTGGGCGTTGATACTCCACTCAGAAAACCTTGGCCCCAGTCTGTCTAAGAAGAAAGGAATGTTGTAATGGGCAGGCTTTGTGCACATTGCATCACTTCCGTCGTAGCTCTGTATACCGCTAGATGGGTTCAGGTCTGGTCTTAGTTCTACAGGACAGTTGGGTGTTGAGTGTTTGTCTCCAGCGAAGTAAAACATGTCGATAATTTTAGGGTACAGCATACTCATAACCTGAAAAAGTAATTACAAAGACCAATCTAAACAGAGGAAAAAGCTTGTGAGAGTTAAAGGTAAGAGCAAGTAAACTGCCTCAAATGAGAAACTTAACACAAATAAAACCAATGCAGATGGGATCTTAACTCTAAGGCTAAATCCAACTTCAGAAAATTATAATAGATGTGAAGTTATAGGGTTGATGGATGGGGTTGATTAATTACAGTTAATAACAGCTACTGATAGGTTGACACCAGTTTGTAATAATTTTAGACCGATTGCATAACGTTGTCGTTCATCAATTTTTGCTACAAACAAGACAAAAAGTACACATCACTTCATACCGATCTGGCTTCCGTAAACCATTTTTCAAGGGTTTTCCATCTGGTCGGACAGTATTTCTTAGCACCTTCGATGTTGCTGCATTTTGCGTGTGCATCCTCGTCAGATTCGTTTTTAGGAAAAGCTTCATCATTG